CCCCCACGGCTGAAAGTGCGAGCATGTTTGGCGGAAGAAGGATTCCAACTCGCGACCCTCAGATTGCGAGTCGAGTGCCCTAACCAAAGGGTGTGAAAAAACAAACCCCTGAGATTGCGAGTCGAGTGCCCTAACCAAAGGGTGTGAAAAAACAAACCCCTGAGATTGCGAGTCGATTGCCCTAACCATAGGGGATGAAAAACAAACCTCTCAGATTGCGAGTCGAGTGCCCTAACCAAAGGAGGTGGTGGTGAAAAACAAACCCCTTAGATTGCGAGTCGAGTGCACTAACTAAAGGGGGTGAAAAACAAGTTCCTTTGAGATCGTTTCTCTGCAAGTTTCGCTGGGAACATCAGAAACAACACGAAGAGGTGTCCTAATTACCGAATCAATTCATTTGGCACGAGTCTCTAGAATACTGTTGTGGGCACGCATGTGTGAAACACAATATTTCTTTTGTTTTTAGCCTTGAAAAGTGTGATTTGTTCTGCGAAATAGATAGGCAGTAAAACCAGTAATTTTATAACGAATTTGAATAGCATAACTTTTGTAAATTATATAAATAAATGGAACAACAATTATTTTATTTAATATTTCTTATAGTCTGATAACAAACTGGCGAAATATTTCAGGTAATTTAAAAAACCTATACATGTTGGCATGACAAATAGTAATCAAGTTATAAGTACTTATAAGTAACACGTGGTTCTGTGTGTGTATTTAAAACAAGCTCAGCACTAAGAGAATTATCGTTTTACCGTGACTGGGAAATGATTAGTCATGTCTTTAATTCGGGATTCGAATGGAGACAGACCAAACGTTATAACTGTTCCTTCAATTGTTCAACCGTTCGCTAACATTCGGGCTTATATTCTTCGTGGTGGACAGAACCAAACCCCCACACACAGATACTATGGTAAACACTACTAACCGCTCGAGAAACCTATTGTTACAATACCCAGCTATACACACAACAGAATGGAATGATATAACTGTAGTCTCCCCGGCGGACAGCGGTAAGTCTTCGAATTTACAACACTAAAATCGGCGGTTCGATTCCCGTCAGCAAACACAGCAGGCAGCCCGAAGTGGTCTTTGCTATAACAAAACCAACAGATATAAATGCATAATAATTCACGAAAGGACGCATATATTTGACTTTATATTTAGTTTATTTTTGTAATTGGCAGGATTTTAATTTCATTCCTTCATTATCCACACAAGCACCTCACACCTTAATTTTGTTTTTAAATTAAGGTTTTATAAGTGATTTAAATCCGGTTACTGTTTTATAACGAGTTTTTTTTTATTCAGGCAGACAAACATCAATGCGCATGCTTACCTTATATCGTAACCCGGTAGGACAGCGGTAAGTCTACACAATTACAATAGATAGTCTTTGAAGGACACGAATAATAAATACTTCGCTCAATATAAAACTGTAGCATAAATCACTATAGTGTTTAAAAAATACAGATAGTTGGAAATCACTGTGTCACTTGAGGAGCTGGATCAAAGTTAATAGGCATGTGACCTACAGGAGGATCACAAGGTGTTTCTTCGCACTGATTCCTTCGTAGCTTTGTTGTTGTATATCATGTTATTGGTAAGTGTCTGCTAATATTTTAATTAACATACCCTTTTCGGCTATGTCTATTTATCTTGTACACTTACATTACCTTTCACTTTTGTAACATCACACATACAGTCCTGATCACACAGTTTCACACATACAGTCCTCAGCACACAGTTTCACACATACAGTCCTGAGCACACAGTTTCACACATACAGTCCTGATCACACAGTTTCACACATACAGTCCTGAGCACACAGTTTC